AGTAAAAATCCCTAAAAAAAAAAAAAAAAAAAAAAAAAGAAATAGCTCTGCAGTGTAGTTTTAGCTCCATTCCTGGATGCCACAATCCTGGCAGGGCATTGTAGGGGGATAAAAGATAGATGCCCTTAATCTGAAGACTGTACAGACCTGCTTCCTCCAGGCTACTCTGGGTTGTGCGGGTCAGAGACCACACTCAGGGAGAGATCACGGTGTCAGAGGAGGAAGGAGGGGCAGGCGCTGCACAGCTAAGGCCTCGTATGTTGGGGCGCTGTGCCGAGTGCTCTTTTGGGGGGAGGAAGCGGGGACTCTTGGTTACAGGGTTGGATTATCATAACTCATTCTGAACATTGGCCTTGATACTTGTTTTTATCAATAAGAATACAGGCTAATTAGGACCAGCAGATTGTGTGGTAGTTAAGGTAGTTAAGGTGCTGGACTCCCACATGGTTGACCACGGTTCAAGCCCTGACTCGGTGGCGTGAAACTCATGCTAAGTGTGTGTGCATGCATGCTCAAAATTCTGAGAGGAGAGAGAAAAGGAATTGCAGTATGGCCATCTCCCCTGGGGGGTGATTTCTCAATTTCTCTCTCTCTCTCATGAGTGCACATGTCCTATGGCAAAACCGTTTTAAAATTATAAAAATAGAAATAACCCATTGAGGGAAAAATTATACATACTGTGTTCTTGAGCGCCCTCTGAGCCCTTAGTGCCTTTCCTCTACGGGACTGAGGGATTGGGGAAGGTGGGATGTCATCCTCGCACATGAGGAAACAGCCTTAGAGAAGCAACATGGCTTCACTCACACTGCCCGGCATGCCACGGCAGCGTGGGCAGGGGGTCAGGTTCTAGTGGCGTTCCAAGGCCAAGATGCCCCCATTGTCCTTCGACTGTCCTCCTTGGAGCCATTCGTGGATTTGGGGGAGTATTATTATTATTATTTTATTATTATTATCATATTTTAAAACATTTGATAGCTATATATCATTTGGCTTTAATTATAAAGATAATTTATCCAACATGAAATACATCTCAGACCAGTCCAGTTGAGAATACTATACATGATATCATCAATGGGTAATAAACCATCTGTGTCCCACGAATATCTTCTCTAGTGTTTCTCCCTAATTTCCTTCCCTACCCTCTTCCCTCTCCCCCCGTCCTTCCACACTGTCTCCAGTGTCCATAACTTTTTTTTTTTTTTTTGAGGGGTTTTTGTTAGGGGCCGTGTG